CATCTATCATCTATCATCTATCATCTATCTATCTATCTATCTATCTATCTATCTATCTATCTATCTATCTATCTATCTATCTATCTATCTATCTAAACAGAGCAATTAACTTTACTAATGCTCATAGGTTGAAGAAAGTTTTTTTTTTAAAAAATGCTGTATTTGGGACATTTATGCATCAAAGAAATAAACAGGTTAAGATGAATTAAAAAATAAATCTGGAAGAGTTTAATGTTAATAACTATTCAAATTATATATATATTGCACACAAGAGGACTTTATAAGAGGAGATGTTGCAAATATAAATGATGTAAAGTGGGAATACAAATTCATTAATAATATCCAAATAATATTGTAAATGATATTTGGTAATCACTGTATAATGTACCACTAGTATGGACATTCAAAAAATCTTATTTTATACTAATTAATATATTTATATATGTCTATATACTCAATGGGAATTCTTTAAGACCAATTGAAAGAAAATATTTGTAACAATTTTGTGCATCTTGTAAAGACTGTATCTTTTACTTTGCTTTGATGACAATGGAAAAGGCACATGGTGAAGAAAATCAAGATTCTCTTCTAGAGTAGAGTTGATTAATGGATATGAGTCAAGTATCAACAAACTAAATAATAAAACATTAATTTCCTAAGCAACGTATTATTGCTTCATGACATTCCAGTGTTTTTTCTGTTGGCAATAATTTGGTATTTCACACCTTTTGGTTGAAATACATGTACAGCATTATCCTAGCAAGGACATTACCAGCTGTGTATTTCATACTGTGGACATGACTTAAATAATACTTTAATCATACTCTAAAACATTTCTGGTCTGCTTCCTTTCAGATAAGGCTAATGAATAATTTTAATATTGCATTTTGATGCACACCACAATTATATGTCTACTGGACCACAATTGTATGTCTACTGAAAGAGGTATGTGACCATCTGCCAATCCTTATTAAACCCATTTGCTCTAACATCAGAGAAACTAGCTGAAGATGTTGGCTCACTCTGTCCTTGCACACTTAGGGCCAAAACTGATATGGTGTAGAAGAGCTTCAACTGGGTCTCCTAACAATTTTTGTTTCCATGATTCCAAAGTAATTTGTAAATGTACACTTGACAGCTAAATAGACTTTGTAAGAGGAAGATGCAATCAAATGCCCCACATTTCCAAACTGAACTTGGACAATGGTATCAAAACAATTCCCCATTCTTTGTTTTAAAAGAAAATCCTCTCCACACAGCCACAAACTCTAATGAAATAAATGCACTTGATGCCTGTTATTTAGCTATAGTAGGTCATTACATGGGTGTGAGACTTTGTTTGCACTAAAACTGTCTGAGAATAAGGATTAAACTAGGCGAGCCACCAATACTGCAGTGACAAAATTAGTGATTATTGGGGGGGGGGACTTCTCTGAATTTTGGAAGCAGTTTGATAGGTTTTTGAAAAAGAAGTTAGTTAAACCTTTGGAAATTTTATTCTGAAGAAGAAAAATATTCTGCTGAAACTTGGTAAGTATGTCTTTTCCCCTTAGCTATTGTGAAAATGCAGCAAATCTGTACAATTCATTATTTTAAAAAATCAGATCTTACCATTAATAAATACATATATTTTAGAGCCGGTCTTCTTTTTTACTTCACTTGAGGATGGATATTTGCAGCTGTAATATCCTGTGTCAGTTGCTTGAGCTCTGTTCAAAGTCAGGCTGCTGCAGAAGTGCTTGTTGTGCTTTCCACAAGCAAAAGTCATTGTATTCAACCGGTTGTCATTCCTACTTAGCGTTTTTGGCAGAAACCAAGAATGGGGCACATCTCCACTGCAAATCCAGGTTAAGAAAAAGGTGAAATTAGAATTAGCTTTCTAGCTTTCATTTTGATTACAGTTAGCTATTTTGGGGGGTCTTCCCTGTTACATTCTGCAAAATCATAAATAACACAACACAAACATCCCTTCCATCAGGGCCACTGAGAGGATGATTAAGTGTTGGAACAAGACTAATATGATCCCCCTCACCTACACATGGACACATATATCAATAATGTCATAATTGTACTGCAGGAAGGCCTACTAGGCCCAAAATAGGACACAATGTGTGTGTGCGGCACGCTCCCCCCTCCACAGACCATTTTGCTCCCAGGAGGCTTTAGGGAGGTCTACTAGGCCCAAAACAGGGCATGAGGGGTCACACACCCATAAAGGTTATGTCAAACAAGACTGCAAGGCAGTTTTGCTATACGCACAAAGTATTGAGTATGAAGTATATATCCAATATACTTTTCTTTTTAAAAATTGGTTTTGTAAAAAAAAAATTTAAAAATTCCCCTTCAAGGGCCCCCTTTGAGTTTTTGGAATTATTTGGAAGCAGGGCAATAATGGTCTCCTCTTATCTTTGCTACCGGTTTGGAACCGGGAGCGTGTGTGTGCGCGTGCTTCGCTCTCACACGGTGGTTCTGTACATGCACAGAACCGTCCATGATGATGTCTGGGTGGGTGGGCGGAGCCTCCCGCCGCCACTACAGGTTCCCCCGAACCAGGGTGAACCGGGGTGATACCACCTCTGAAGCAGGGACAGTGTCAGCACCCCTTAACCCTTGGTGCCTCAGCCAATGTCTACTTAGGCTTAGCCTAAAGTTACCCTGCATCCAAATTTAAGATTAGAGTAGCCAACGGACGAATGCAAAGGTCAGCTCAGCCAAGCTACTTACCTGCACAAGAGGTTTAATGTATCTCCTTCTTGTATGACATGGTGCGCTCCTGTTATGTTTAATTTGGGGCCCTTCCATTTGAATCCTGAACTAGATCCTGCAAACAAAACAAACATATTATTAAAATCTAATTATCTTTCTATTGTTTCACAAATGCATGCTTTCAACTAAAAAGGATTGGATTTTCCAAGTCAAAAACTTTAAGGGATTAGAACGATCCTCTGGATGAGGAAAGTTTTTTTAACTGTACTTGATGATATTTTCTTTAAAATGTAAGAGAAAAACAGAAATTGTAAAATCATCATAGAGATGAAAAAGTGGTAGCTCTCGAGATTGGCTTTAAGGTAGGTTTGCACATATTGGTTTCTTTAAATAGGTTTTACTGAAGCAAATTCAATAGTAAGGTTTACATATTTTGTTTGACCATCAACTCTGTTCTTAATCAGTGAATGAGTTCACACATGACAATAATCTCACATTAAACTATGTCGTTAACCTGATGTGTGAATTCAATCATTATTTGGACTGATCAAATAATGGAATATTGGTAATGGAACATTGCTAACATCTAATATAAAACCATAATTAGTTGATGCAGGCTATAAAAGATTTTCCACATAGCAGCAATTATTATTATGGTTGGCTACAAAGTCAGCCAGATGTTTAGACAGGGTTTAGCATTTTTATGCACTTATTGAGTCCTTCCCAAAGGCCTGGAATATGCAGATATTCTTCGTTGATGGTGTTAAAGATATTGTTGTATGATATAAACTAGTCCAAGTAAATTTATTATTATGTGTGCATAATCTAATCTGGTTAAATTCACAGTCTAAAACTGGTAGAAACTTAATAATTCAAGTCCTTAAGGTAAAGGTAAAGGTTCCCCTAGTCATGCTAGTCATTCCCGACTCTAGAGGGCAGTGCTCATCTCCGTTTCAAAGCCGAAAAACCAGCGCTGTCTGAAGACGTCTCTATGGTCATGTAGCAGGCATGACTAAATGCCAAAGGCGCGCAGAACACTGTTAGCTTCCCACCAAAAATGGTCCCTATTTTTTTACTTGCATTTTTACATGCTTTCGAACTTCTAGGATGGCAGAACCTGGGACACGTAACAGGAGCTCACTCTATTACACGGGGTTAAGGATTCAAACCAATGAACTGCCAACTTTTCTGATTGATAAGCTCAGTGTCTTAGCCACTGAGCCACCATGTCCAAGTCCTTACCAAACACCTAAGAATTCGTAAAGTAGCATCTAAGAATATAGGCAGTTCTAATCAGAGTGCAGGTATTTTTTGGAAAATTGGGATGTTCCGGGCTGATAAAGTCAATATTTCTAGCTATCAAGGAAGTCCTTTAGATATTGCAACAATAGCAATAGCACTTAAACTTACATACTGCTTTACAGCACTCTCTAAGCAGTTTACAGCATATTGTCTCCAACAATCTGGGTCCTTATTTTACCGACTTCGGAAGGATGGATGGCTGAATCAACCTTGAGCTGGTGAGACTTGAACTGCAAAATTGTTGGCAGCCAGCAGGCATCAGAAGTAGCCTGCAATACTGCATTCTAACCACTGTGCCACCACAGCGCAGAACAAAGGTTCCGGTTACAATTGATACAACAATGGATTTCTTTTTCTATAAGCATACAACTTCAATCTCCAAGTCACAATATTTGGAACTTTTTCAAATTGTTTTTCCTCAGTCCTAGAACCTCAGAATAGCAACATCAATGAACCAGACACTCTTCTTTTCAATAAATGTTATATCATCCATAATATGAGACAGAGCCTATCTGTTTGGATCTTAAAATTCCATGGGATCTTAAGCCACTCATTTTCCAAAACCTTCTAAATTTGATGATCTCAGTAATTTTTACTATAAAAGTAAAGGTTCCCCTCGTTCATATGTGCTAGTTGTTCCTGACTCATCTCAGGATCAGAGTGCTCATCTCTATTTCAAAGCTGAAGAGCCAGTGCTATCTGAAGACATTCTCCGTGATCAGGTGGTCGGCATAATTAAGCACCGAAGGCACACGGAATGCTGTTACCTTCCCACCAAGGTAGTCCCTATTTTTCTACTTGCATTTTTACATGCTTTCAAACTGCTAGGTTGGCAAAAGCTGAGACAAGTAACAGGAGCTCACTCTGTTATGCGACAGTACGGATTCGGGATTCGAACCACCAAACTACCAACTTTTCAATCGACAATCTCAGCGTCTTAGCCACTGAGCCACTGCATTTTTACTATATTCACATCCCAATCCTTTTTTGCTATAATCACATCCAAATCCTTAGCAAATTTTCCAATGATTAATTCTGGGAACTTAGTCATGGTGCTGCTTGCAATCATTAGCATTATTCTGAAATATTTCTGGTCCACCCACTGCACAGAGAATCTTGTGGTCAACCATGGGGAAAACAGAGAATTCCCCCCCCCCCTTTTCTCCTAGCACTATAACCAAATTGACTAGAAAGGAAATCAGAACAAAAGAAAGTACTTTTGTATTCAGAGCATGATTAAACTGTAATTTAATATTCAAAACAGAATGTGATATCAGTGTGAAAGTAACATCACAGTATAATAAATGTTAATTCTTTTGTTTACCTCAAACTATGCTAGTTGAGGAATTCTGGAAGTTGACATCTACTTATCTTAGAGTTGCTAAGTTTGAGAGATAAAAGTCATTTGCATACAAATTTCCCTGCATCAGAAGCAAAATTTCCATAAAAAAGCTCTTTCCTTGTAATAAGCCTGGATGCCCCATAAGAATAAGTCATTGTGAAGGTGATTAATGGATCAAGATAAAACCCCATCTTCACCTAGGGTGCATTTTGCTCCCTTCCTCCCCAACTTGTCAATTGTTAATATTTATTGTTTTAATGTTTTACATTGTGATTTTTATTGATTGATTGTAATTCACATAGAGTTGCCTTTAGTGAGATGGGCAATGTATACATTTAATAAATAAATGAATAAATGAATGAACCATTTTCCCAGCATTGGAAACTTTTCTGTGTGGGGGTGAGGCAAACATTATAACTACTTTCTGGCATCCTGGTTGTAATGAAAGCCTCTACTTTGATGGCAAATTGACTTTTGATACGTTTATGTTATGTTAAAGTTGTCAAGATTCTCCCTACTATTCTCGTTAGGCATTATACCAGAAAAATATGATAAAAAGACTATATATCTGGTTTTACATATACTAACCACAACCAGAATTGTATCTGTACAGCAATGGAAAAACTATGAGATTACGTCAGATGAGAAAGTAATTAAGAAAACATAAGAATGTGTAGAAATGGATAGACAAACACTCACTATTAAGGATAAAGAAGAAACTGAATATTTTTTGATATGGGATGTATTTTATCAATGGCTAGACAATACAAACATGAGCCAGAAAGGAGGAGATATAAAAAGAGGAAATATTAATGTGAAGAGGTGTTAAGGAAGATATTAAGTATTATTTTTATTATATTATTATATTTTTAATATTATGATTAATATAGCAATAAATAAGTGGATTGTGATTATTCAAAAGTAACTGTACTTAGATCACACATTGTTTGATGGAATTTGAATGTTATATAAATAAAATAAATAAAACATAGAAGGGGGAGATTATCCCTACTAAAAAAGCCAACCTGATTTCCAAAAACAAAGGCTATAAGTACTTCCAGCTGCCCTTTAATGGATAGGATTTTAATGTGACCATTTGTGATGCCTTGCTAAAATTCCAGCAGTAGACTTTATTAAGCAACCCAGGAAATAATCCATAACATGATACCATGTACAACATTTTAATAAATGGTCAGCCTTTGCATATCAACAAAATAAGGTCTCAAAAATAGACATATTTAAAACCATTTTCTTCTTAGGTTCTGCAGTCTTATATTAAGCAAGCCCTATCTATGCCACTTTGAGCTCCTAAATGAAAAGTGAGATGCTGTAGGAAGCTACAGAGCTGACTTTAAAGCGAGTAATGATTACAGCAGAGATGATTACAACAACATGTGCTGAGCCTGGGAAACAGGGAAACCGTTAGGAAGCCTGGACGGTCCCTAGGGTATTAATAGGAGGGAGGAGAACGCATAGTCAGACTAACAAGACTGATATCGGCCCTTTGAAGATGATCAGATTAGGTAACAGACTATACAAATGGCAAGAACCAAACCTTAATGAGTAGACTACTGAAAGGCAATCTTGCAAGCCTAACCATATTCCCTCCCTACCCTTTAACATCCCAGGGAATCGAGAAGGGTCAATATGAATCTCTTGCTAACCCATAACATATTCTTAAACTTTCAAATATGCCCAGTAAACTTGCGCAGGCCAGATTGCATTTACCTTGACAGTTTATATGCAAGAAAGCTACTTCTCGGGGAACTACGGACTGCAATTAAAGAAGAACTACTGTCGTAATTAGACATATTATACATATCCAGAGTGCAAAAATCTAGACAATGACTAGAGGGCAGCCAACCAGAAGGATCTATCTTTACATCTAGTGGTTGTCCGGATTTTTGCAGAAAGATATTGTATGTCTAGGTAAAGGTAAAGGTTTCCCTCGCACATATGTGCTAGTTGTTCCTGACTCTAGGGGGCAGTGCTCATCTCCGTTTCAAAGCCGAAGAGCCAGCACTGTCCAAAGACCTCTTCACCATTAGTTCTTAACCAGTTCAAAACCAAACTAATTTGAATTACCGTATTTTTCAGAGTATAAGACGCACCTTTTTCCCTCCAAAAAGAGGCTGAAAATCTGGGTGCGTCTTATACACTAAATACAACATTTTTGCCTCCTGAATCCCCGCCCCTTCACCAAAATGGCTGTGCATAGCCTTATGGAGGGTTTTAGAGAGTTCCTGGGGGCTGAGGAGGGCAGAAATGAGCAAAAAATGGGCCGTTTTTTTGCTCAATTTTGTCCCCTCAGCCTCCAAGAGCACTCTATAAACCCCCATAAGGCTATGCATGCCCTTTTTTTGGCAAAAAACTGGCCCGTTTTCACGAAAGGTGGACTGTTTTTTGCTCGTTTTTGGCCACCCCCACCCCCCAGCAGCACTCTGCAATCTTCCTAAGGGCTATTCATGCTA